ATCCTATTTTTATGTATTGAATATTTTGTTCATTTTTAAAAACTAAGCTTAACATACTAGGAAATTAGTTGCTGCGTATATTAATTGTCTTAATTTTTAAACTAATACGCATGCTTTTATTTTGTGTATAAATATTATATGAAAAGTTAAAACTTACAAAAAAATATTTTCATGGCAAAATGTTTTTCAGTTCTTCGTCTTCGTGCAACTAAATTTTTTGTTACAGTGATTTGCTTTCAAATTTATTGAGGGGGCATATTTGAGGTTTTGCATGGATCATACGGCGGACAATAATGATTGTTTGGAGATGATGAGCAGAGGACGTTGTGAACTGTCTCTCTCTTTCTCTATATGTGTGTGTGTATGCACATATGAATGAAAAGGAAATGAGAAGTATTACTTCTGGTTCTCCGTATGTTTAAACAATAAAGAGAAGCATGGGTTAAGGGTCTAATCTTAACCTAACCTAACCTGCACTTGAATGGAATTGACTTGGAAACTTGCAATCTACAAAACATCACCAGGACCACCATTATATATATATATATATATATATATATATATCAGGTGATCAACAACCTCATTTCTATCGTTTTCTCTTTCTCCCCCTCCTCATAAATTTGTGAATCTAACGAATTTTCTAAACTAAAACTACTAATTTTCTCTAATCATCGAGTGTTAGCAGTAGTAGAAAACCAAGCAAAGCTCTATAATCTCCAATCTTAATTGTCCATATTCTTTACCCCTTTCTCTGGTTGATTCTTAAATTCCTACAAAAATTTAACCACTAAACTTAATAACCTAGTCCCTCACACTGCCCAACATCGGAAGAAAACCATAATGAAGAGGGACCATCACCATCACCATCTTCATCCTCAACCCAAACCCTTCATCGTATATTTACACTGGTTGAAACTCCAAGATATGGAGATGGGGACATGAGCCTACAACAATGGATGCGTGCATGGACGAGTTACTAATTCAAATGGATGACCTCTCTCATCTCCTCAACCACGTTGTTCACCTCAATCTGTTAAGAGTTTAGTGGAGATGATTAGTCATGTAAACTTTGAAAATATTTTCATTTTTTGGATTTCGATTATTGAGTAATCTCATAAGTTTTTTAATATATACGATAACGGTTAATTTAGAATAAAGATTGTTTAAATTCTTGAATGTTGATGAAATAGATAATTATGGAAAGATGATAAAAAAAAGAACAACCATGAGATCCTCTTGAAATTGCAGTGGATTTTTTATTTTTATAAACAAATTATATTATGTATTACATTACATGTGGCGGCCATACAAACATTCATTAAGCAAAAAAATTGAGCCACGTGGCCATGTTAACTGTCACGTGGAACAAACATAAATAATATTATTAGGAATTGATGGAGGGAAACTAATTTAAGTGGTTTTTTTTGTTGTTGTTGAAATTATTAGTTAATTTAAACACAAATATGTTGCAGAGACAATTTAAACAATATACAAGGGCAAATACTTTCTCTCTCTCTCTCTCTCTCCCTCTCTCCCTATACTTATATATAATTTTAATGATACCTTATGGGCTATCCTCCCTTTGCATTTATATATACACCAAATGAGCTTTTAAGTCCACAAAACTTTTTAGGTTAATTACTTCAATACTAGAAACAAAAGTGACAAAAAAGTTTATATAGACATTTGCAAGTAAAAATATATTTAACAGAACTAATGTCATAATCGAAAGACTACAATGTCTAATAATCACAAGTTTCATCATATAAGCAAAGTTATGGAGAATCCCCATACTCAACTCTTATCGAACTTAAAAACTAACAAGTTGAGAAATAGGAACTTGACAAGAAAAGTAAGTATTTTTACTATGGCACCATAAATACTCATTTGTGTTTCGGTATAAGAGATCAAGTCCTATTGATTCTCATCCATGCTCGTCTCACTTTTTGTAACGATCCTGGAAATCTAAAAGAAAATATATACTAATTTAAGTGCGGGAACGAAATAAAAAGTTAAAATTTACATCCATTACACAATAACTTAAAAGTACTAAACAAACATCACAGAATGAATTATCTGAAAGAAACACGAGAAATGAGAAAAACAAAGGAAAATATTAAGTATCTAGCATCTACTCGCAGTCTTCTTACAGATCGGGCTCGGAAATTTGGTCATCTTGATTCAAAATAGTTAAATAAAGAATGAGCTACACTAACCCAGTAAGGACATCACACTATATCACCGTCACAGAATTAAATGTTGGTAGAAAATCAAAACAACCAATGGAACAGTAGATTTAAACCAATACATTTATTTAAAATAAAACCACTTACCTTTTTACTTACCATTGGAGAATTCATGAAAATATATTATAGAAGCAATAATATCATACAGATCATAATTTCATGCATAATCAACCATCACGGTACATATTATAAATCCATATCCATTAAAAATAGATGAACTCGAAACTGTTTCTCGTTTCACCAGCCTACTAGTATCTATGAAGATCTATAGGGGTGTCCCCGTTACACGTGAACCCTTTTCCTTAACAATTTTAATTACATAGCCGACCCCATATCCCGTCCGGTATGAGCGCCAAGACATTAAAATTCAATACCCCGTCTGATATGAGGTGAAGCAGGTCGTCCCCATACCCCGTCCGGTATGAGCGCCAAATGACCAAGTCTCCATACCCCGTCTGGTACGAGACAAAATTCACGGTAGGATTCCGTATGAACCCGGTCTATCCACCATCTCTCAGGATATCTAGTGAGGCTGTCATCTTATCCGTTATCTTATCTATTTATTATATCACACTCCTTTCCTATTTTTCCTTAGTCTCCGTTACCAAATCAAACATAATCACATAAACAATGAACATGCACCCGATAATGCAATCATATTTTAAATTGCAAAATAGTACAGTAGTCAAGTAAGACAGAAATACATGCATTTAAACTATAAAATAGATAAACCAGAAACTATTATGCTTTTAGACTGCAAGATTAATCAACAGAAATCATCAGAGAACAATACTCGATTCGGGTTCCATTAGCAATCCATAATTAATTATGCACATCTATTTAATTTGTACAAAATATAGGTATTATCATTTATTCAAACTTCAATTCCATGATAAGAAATAGGGTGAGGGGTACTTACTTGATTCGACGCCGAAAGCTAAGTGGTTACTGCGCCTACGGGCGGTCCCTGGGTTCCCTGAATTTTTTTTCGGGAACTTAAACACGCTTACAGTACCTACAACTGTCCCAAAAAAAACTCAAAAATCAGTCCCAGGGCTTACTCGGCCAATTTCAGAAATCTGGCACGGCAGCTCCGCCGCCTGTGGCAGCGATCCATCTCGGGTTGATTGTTTTCGGCCATTTTCGGCCGAATTCAGCCAAATTTGCATCGGTTCCTACGAGAAAACACACTTAAGGCCCTCGGTGGGCCGAAAAAAATGTAGAAAACTAAAACTCACCGGTAGTGGGGCTCTCCGGTGCGGCGGCTCCTCCGGCTCACGTTGTAGTTTGGTGTTTTGCTCCTGTCAATCTGTAGAGAAGGAAACGGTGATCACAACGATGGAAAAATCATATCAAACAAAAATCGGGAAGGGCCTCATCGGAGGCGTTTTTCGAAACACCATGCGGCGGCATTTTTCGGCCAATTAACTGGTTTTTTTATTCTGATTTGGCCATGGGTGGGTTTAAAATTGAATTTCATGCAAGAGGGAAATTTTTTACCTCGTTTGGTAGTCGAAAATTGCTCCAGTGCGGCGGCGGGTGGCGGTAGTCGGCTCCCCGGGGGCTGGGCTATCTTCTCCGACGAGGGGCTTTGGCAGCTAGGGTTAGGGTTTGGGTGCAGATGAAGTTATTTATACCCATCCGCTTTTAATATGGGTCGTCCATCACTTTTGATCTGTACCGTCCGATCGCGATTAAATAGGGAGTGAATCTCGGCCGTTCATTGCGATTCAATCTGGGTCGTCCGTGCGCGATTCAATCTGGATCGTCCGTGCGCGATTCAATCTGGACCGTCCGTGCACGCGAGAACGGATCTCAACCGTTCGATCGCGCACACGCGGATCGCCCACGTGGCTCCCCCTCGCATGGCCTCCCGCGTCAGTGCCTCTGCCACCTGGCACGTCCTGGTTGGTCGGAGCTGTTGACCAAGCATCTGACGTGGTGAAATTTTTCTAAATTGTATTTTGACCCCTGGTTTTCGATTTTTCTTTTAAAAATACTCTCAAAATCTGAATTTTCACCCATTTTTGTCGAATTATTTTTAATTAAATCATCAACTAATTTTTACCCTTTTTTGTTATTATTATTATTATTAAAATAAAATAAAATAAACCAAATTAAATTCAATTAACAAATAATTATATATATAATAAAAAAAATAAAAAATAAATTTTGGGTGTTACACTTTTGTCATACTTTAGTACTAAAATTACAACACTAGAAAAATCTTAAAATGTATTTTTCATGTGTTTTATTTAGGAAAGTCACCTGCAACACTTTAGTGGAGAATTTTTTTATTAAACTTATAAATCATAGCTAATACTTATAAATGATATATCCTGATGTAATTATTCTAAATATCTTAAAGTTTAAAATCAAATGAGCAGGTTGACCCTCAGTAAAATATTTTCTTAAAAAACTTTCAAGATATGAAATAAAGAACAACCCTTAATCAAAGCAAACTTATATAAAACTTTACTGACTATGATCCAAACTTGACGGAGCTCATCCTGAATCATTTTAAATATAAAAACATCCATGTTAATAAAATAGTAGCACGTGAAAAACAAAGTCATTCATTTAGAAAAACAAAACTAAACAAAATTCCCATTATTCACTAAAGAATTTAGCAAAAAGCTACCAAAAAGATCTAAACCCTAAAATAAAAAGAAATCCTCAATAAACATTGGATAGAATCATCTATACATTTTCTAATTATTAACACATCTTTTCCCCATACTTTATAATTCCAACCATCAATCCATATGATTGAATGATTAATTATATCATATTTAAATTTTAAAAGCTTTTATGATGCCACAAGACAACATATTATAACCTTTATTGTGCCTTCCTAACCACTCTAAGGAAAGCTCTCCACTAATGGTACTCTTGCTAACATTTAGCTCCATACAACTTTTCAAACAACTCTAGAAGAGCTTCTAGGCACTCTTCACGAGCAATTGACACTAGCCAAAAAAATAATAATAAAAAAAACCATGTACTTCCTAAAAATTCATTGCAAAATGTAAAATGTTAAAACTATACCTTAGCTGTTTTGATTTTGAGGCCCTATGAGTTTACAATTTGAATTCCTATATTGCCGTGCCCACATTCACCAATGGATTGAGGTCTCCTAACCTAGATTTTTAATTGGTCAAGAAACTAGCTAAGGGAATAGGAAATATAAGATATAAACAAAGAAAGATTGATGTTTTACTAAATGAAACACAAATTCCAAAGAAGTTATAAATAGAAAATTGGGGCTTGCTCAAGCCATCTCAACTTTGAAGATGATTTGTCTTACTTTTAAGAAAAAATTGTTTTCCCTCTTCAATGAAGAATTTTTACAAGACAAACTTAATGGGATTGTTGATGTCCCTAAACGTTTGGTCATAGATGACTTGCACATAAACACACATTCTTTAAGACTACATTAGTGAAATAGATTTCTTTAACTGAAGATATATTATGGTACAAAAAGTTATTTATCTTATATCAATTAAAATTGAGAAATTTTTTTAATAATTTTAGGAGAAACTATTCTCACCAAGTAACAAATTGTTTATAGAATAAAATTTGATGAGACAGAATCTCGCTTAACAAAACTTTGTACATATAAGATTATACTACATTAGACATATTCACAAAATTTTGAATTATTTTTTTAAAAATAAAAAATGTGATTGCATGTTGTTATTTGTATATAAAACACACTCCCGCTATATGTTATATTTAAATTTAAAGGAGGATTTTGGAGGTATTTTTTGTTAAGTGAATTAAATAATATATGTGAGAAAGATTGGTGGAAACGTTACAGACAGAAACATTTACGCACAGGGAAATAAATTTGGTTCATGCACAATCCAAGTGGCGTACCTTTAGTGATGACCATACACCACGAATGGAAGGGAATGAATTGGTAATGGCTTGAATGACTTTGACTCCACTCTCCTCCTCCTCGTCTTCCTCTTCCTCTTCCTCTGACCTTACCCTACTCATTAATTGGCTTGCTTGACTCTTCTCTATTCCCTCTCCTATACATCCACAGATATCTCTGCATATATCTTTTCACCATTAAAACTCCTTTATTATTTCCAACAACAAAATAACGTATCTCTTCTTCCTTTTTCAAATTTCATCATTTTATTTTCAAATAACAAGGATGGTCGGTAGTGAAGATTTCAGCTTCCCAACAATAAGTAATCCTATACCACTATTTGCAATCTCCCCGTCTTTATGGCATGTGTCTTCGATTGTTTACCCTGATGAAGATGATCAGAAGGTCGGCAGATTCAACTTGGGAGGAAATGATGCGAGGAGGACTGGCCGATTCCAGTCGGGGGAAATTGAGGAGAAGATGGACATGCTGTGGGAGAATTTCAATGAGGAATTAACAAGAGTTGAAGAGAGGAGGCAATCCAAGTCAGAGAAAATTGATGTTTGTTGTGTGAAGGCGATGAATATGGTGAGGAAGGGAAGTGAGTTGGAGTGTGATAAGAGACCAAGCAATCGCATGATGATGATTCTCAAGGTTTTGAAGAAGGTTTTCCTGCTCACAACTTCTCGTCCAAATCCTATCCACAGTAACTAGAAGCTTCTGATCTGTAATCTGGTTTTTGATGAATTATTTTTCTTTTTTATACAATAATATATACAAAGTATAGCAGATAAGAAGACGTTTCAGCTTGTGAGATTTTATGGGGTACTACAATCTACGAGTTACCTTTCTAGTTTTTTAGGTTGCACGTTCTGGTTTTGCAGATACAAATCTGATTAACACAGTTTTCACTTTTCTTTCAACTGAAATTTCACTTAGTTTTTAAGTTTTTTGGATTACACTATTTTTAAATTGGTTTACATATAGAATTACACCATGAATTCTAAACTTAAATTCACCTCACTCTGACAAAAAAGTTCAATATCGAAGATAGTTAAAATATTAAAATCATATATGGTGATATAACACTTATTTAATACATTTTGAAGAACAACATAAATTTTTAAGTGGTATCCTAATTCTATACAATAACAATAATAAATTAAATAAAAGACTTTTAACTTGGAGTATGTTTACAGTTAAATTTATTATTAAAAAATAACTCAATCCCTACATAACAAACGTAGAAAGATACATCTTCATATCAAGTGGTACAGAGCAATAGGGATTCCATCTGGCCAAATATGCTTTTTGGAAAGCCCTTTAAAAGCTCGATGATAGTATATTTACAGTGTGAACTATGAAATCCTGACATCACTGACATGTGCTGTCAACAATGCCCGAGCAAACAACTTCTACGGATGAGCTTCTTCAATCTTCATGCCCAAGGAATCTCTCTGTCTCATCTTGTTGACTAGTTCCATGTACTAGCATGTAGCAATTGCAGATCAACATGAGAATTGAGATTCAATACTTCTTCAGTTCCTCAAGTTTTTCAACAATATGTTTGTTCATCTATTAGCTTTTCTGGATAAAACGGGATCTTACTGCAGGAAGAGGTGAGAGTATGTATAGAAATTGTGCAAATTTGTTAATACCCAAGAGTGGGGAGAGTAAAAGCAGAATCCCATTCCCCCCCCCTCCCCCCTTCAGTTCATAAGGTAAGCATGCCTTTTCAAAGACAAGCAGCAACCTTACCAATTAAATTTCTACAATATAAATGGAGATGCATCAAAGATATCCATCATCGTCAAGGGATCCACTTGAGATAGGGCAAGCCGCGTGTAAAGATGGATCATCGTATTACTGCCAAAACTGAGATAGAAAGACAAATAATAGTTCTCCACATGGGCTCTGACGCCTCCTGGTATGAAGGAAAACAAAGCAAGTCAATCAAATGGAAAGGATGCTGCTAGTAGACAACATTCAGGAGTCCCAAACTAATGTTTAACCACCTATGCTACTTCCGCTCCTTGTTTGGTACTTGAATGCAGTCATGTTCAACTTATATGGAAACATATGCCTAAATAGGTATAACAGGCATAAATGTGCAGACAAACTCGTGATTACATAAGTTCACAATCTTTTAAGGAAGCAAGAAAACAAAAAATTTCGATTTTTTTTAAAGGTAACAAATAAATGTCCATGAAAGAAAATTCAAAAAAATGAAATTTTTAACTCCATTAAACTTCTTATGCATCCATTACATCAAACAAGTCAAGATTTCATAAAGCAAATAATATGAATTTCCATTAAAGTAAACTAAACCATCCATCAAACGCATAACAACATCAAATTTTAAAAATATACAGATGCAGACAGATAGAGCATGTATACATACAGATTTTTTACTTCTAGTTGTTGAAAGACCAACATCATTAAGACTTTTTAAGAAAATAAATTCTGTTGACAGTGAAGAAAAAATACTATACGAAAAATGCAAAGTCATACAAAAACCATAATACCCTGGTTATCTAGAGATTTTAACCAAAACAGATTACTGTTTGCAAGGACTTTAGTTAACTCTTGAAATCACAGCATATCAATATCAATTACAGTAAAATGTAAATTTATTTGGTACTGTTACGAGGGATCCCTAATAAAGGGCCCTAATGGAGTGCTCATTATTCATGGGATAGCTGTCTATGTCATTCCTGATATTACTTCTCTATCTGTGGGCTAGCAGTCTAAGCCTTTCCTGATGTTAGTATTTATTCCCCAGTGGACAAGGACTAGTAAATCATGCTAGAAGATTTTCATCACTACTGATAAACATATTCCATTTTTTTTCTCTAAGCACAACAAAGTAAAAGATGGGTGACTTGACTAAGCTTAAACGTCTGTTTCAGAGGACGGAAGAGGATGTGAACAGATCTAACATAAGGGAAAAATATTTACTCAGACTTCATAGCAAAATACCAGTTTGGTACAATGTAGTGAATAGACTCAACAAGGGGAACTAATTAATTTGTTGCCAGAACCAAATTAGTCATTCTTTTCCCTCCTCTTCCCCACTCCCAAATGGAGCCTCAACCTAACTTTTATCAATTAACAATGAAGCCCTCTGTCAAACAAGAAACTATACTATGAAAAATGCAACATCATATACGCCTTAATCAATCACTGATAGAATAAGCCAGCTAATAAGTTTACGTCTGACTAAATAAATATTTACATACCAACAATTAATAAATCTAAATCCAGATTAAACAAAAGGAAGTTAAAAAATTGACAGAAGAGTCAACTAAAGAAATTACTATAATTGTTAGTTCATTCTACTTCAGAAATAACTGGTAGCAATGACGTTACCTGTTATGCTAGAGTTGCCCTCTTTCCTTTCGCATCTCTTGACTGCAGGAAATTAATTTATTACTGAGAATCTATAATGTAATATAAATACACAATACATCAAAGATCTTTGCGAAATGTAGATGGAGAGAAACCTGTGCAGCAACAGATCTTTTTGAATCCAGAAACTGGCTGTAAATGCCATATAGTCTCTGCTTCTCAGTATCTGAAACTGATGGCCTTGCTTTGGATGTAATAGACTTTAAAAGAGTATCAGTTATGACTGGCATTTTTCCAGACTCGTCACTGTCTGCACTACCTAGAAATTCATGAACAGCAGCGAGCTGTGCATCAGAGAGAAGTGCTTGGAGGTCAGCTCCACTAAATCCTTCTGTCATTTGAGCTATGGCATCTAAATCAATATCACTGGCAAGTGGAAGCTGCATTAATTTGAATAAAGCCATAGGCCATCATTAGTTTTTAAGAGAGTAATCACTAAAGAAGGATGATAAATAAAGACATGAAGGGGGTAAACTAGATGAAGTTCGTAATATAAGAGTTAATTTTCCCTGTTGGAAAAATATCAAATATAGGTTTCTTGGTACATGAACATAATTTTTTATTTTTTATTTTTTATTGTCTATATACGTATATTAATACATAAAAATAACATGCTCGGTTTACCCTTTCCTTTCACATGTCATACAAATCAAGTTTCCTTATTTAAGTAGATTCTATTATGCTTAGTCTAAGGTGGTTCAGCTTCATAAAAACTCAACATTTTAGAACTTCTATATTTGGATGTATGACCAGACTCACAATGATCTTGTCATAACGACAGACTTCAGTCTAAGTCAGAAGGAAGCGATGCCCAAGATTTAAATTAGAAACATGTAAAGCAAGTAGAAAACATGTATATCAGTTAGAATATAGAATATATCTAACCTTTCTAGAAAGAACTGTAAGAATCTCCACCCTCTCACGCCAAGATGGAAAATCACAGAAAAGAAGGCGATCAAGCCTCCCAGGTCTCAGCAGTGCAGCGTCAAGTAGATCTGGTCTACTGCTTGAAGGGGGCAGAAAGGAATGGTGTAAAGTTTCATCAAAGAAATGAGACTAACTGAAAAGGCTATACATGCTCAGAACAATAAATTTAGATTCCTTCCTGAACCATTTTTTATTTCTTAATTTGCACTATATAGACATACTTTTGAGCATGGTCCTCCCTAAAGGGTCAAGAGTATATTTTATCATATTTAGAAAAAATATGAATATGCGGCTTATGGTTGCTAGGTCAGTCTTCGACAGTTGCATCTCATTATGGATCTGTTTTGAGTTCGACAGCGCAAATAGAAAGAACACATTGTACTTATGGAAATAGTATTTCATCTCCACAATCTCAGAAACCCAATCACACATTAACATTCCATGGATCCTGATGTTTCTATATCTATCTTGTCCTCCAAAATATGCTTTCTTTTTCCATTTGAAAAAAAAAATAAATGCAAAAAGCTTCAAATAAGTAGCATCCCAAGTATGCAGGCAGATTTGCAAAAGCATATAACTTATCAAGAAAAAGAAATTATAGAAAGAAAAATTCTCAATAAACCACCTTATTTTGATTTTAGCGGCCAAAAGAAAAACCTAACCTTCTTAGTTTAGTGGCATTCATGAAAGGCAACTTTCCATATAATCAAAAGAACCAAATAAGAATACCATTGGTTCTCTTAAAAAATTCAATCAATGAATTACACATTAACTGAAAGCAAAAGAAAACCACTTCACACAATAAAATAAATTTTAGCATTCAATACAGAATCTGAAAGTTATGCCACCACATTAATTTTCCAAAGCAAAACTCACCTTGTTGCTGCAAACACAAATACGCCGGTCAAAACTTCAACACCATCTAGTTCAGTCAGAAACTGCTCAAAGGAGGATCATGATATGAAAGGAATTAATCAGAAGAAGAGCATAAGATGGGATAAAATAGAATATGATCTTATCATGTGATCCAGTATTATGATACTGACTTGATTAACAACACGATCTGTTACACCAGTATTATCATGTCCTCTCTTAGGGGCGATGGAATCAAATTCGTCGAAAAAGAGAAGGCATGGTGCAGCAGCAGCTGCTTTGGAGAAAATGTCACGGACCTGAAAGAATAATCAGTGATGTGAATGTCAGATCTGCACTGAAGATATGGTAGGGGAAAACCCTTCGTGCAGAGAAACAAGAAACTATTTCAAGCCAGCTTAATTGGGTAATTAGTGTAACAAATGGGTGGAGAAATCCTTAATTAGTTATAAACTCTTACTTCCCACTTTTTCCTTATTCTCGCTGTGTTTTGCGGAAATCCTGTTTTTCTGTTAAAACTGAATTTCTGTTATTGTTGTTAGTGAACTTTCGGAAAGAAGTGGGGTAGAAAGTCTGGAATTGGGAATGATCTGATTAGAATAATACTATGAAGAAGCTCTATTGAATGAAATCAGCAATTCCTCTCTCTCTCTCTCTCTCTCTCTCTCTCTCTCTCTCTCTCTCTCTCTCTCTGCCATACTTCGTTATTCTAATTCCTCTAATTTCCCTTCTAATATCTGAAGATGCTCTTCTTATTCTGCTAATTCCCAGCCTAATTGTTGTTAATGTTTAAGGTTCTTGACAAATTGGTGTCAGAGCCGGTTGATTAAGATGAAACGTTAACTTCCATGGCTGCCATGATGACAGATAATTAGCACCTTCTGCAGCTTGAAGAATATGTCAAAAACTCTGATAAAATGTTCAATCACCATAGGATAAACTTGTAAAGGTCCATTGAACTTCCATCACAAAGCTTCTTATGATGTACAGCAAAATTAGAACTGGCCGGAGCAAAGGTTCAATCAACTCAAGGACATGATTTGGAACTCAACGCACCTTCCAGATCCTTTTTCACATGTATCATTTTCCCTTGTTTTACCAAAATCTGGTCAAGGTATTAGTATATCCTCCCTTCAGGTCCCTCTTCTACCTCCACCTAAATCTGCTCAAGCTGTTTTATCCAAACTGCAGGGTAAAAATAATGGGGACAATAAATTTGAGAAAAATGGAGTAACGGGACTGTGAGAAAAGATTTATTAGTTCTTGTGATAAAGTTGTCAAAAGGTTGTTAGTCCTAAAGAGGAAAAAGAAGTGGTGGTGAACAACATACAAGTTGAGAGTAAGATCCAACTTGTTGAAAGTCCCATCTGAGAAAAATGCAAACAAAAGTTTTGTGAAAAGTTCCAAAGAGTTGACAAGTTTTGAGAATTACATAGAAAAAGAATTTTGTAGAAGCTGGTTTTTGTACGAGTCCAGTAGTCTTTACTTATAAGAGTATATCCTTAGCATTTGAAGCTGGGTGCATGTTAAATATCATCTTTATAATCAAAGGATGCTCCACTTTATTTCAAGTGAATTGTTAATTATGTGGAAAATACGATGACTGGAGGCTGTTAAACAAAGAAGTGAAGAAGTTAGGAGTTTCATTGAGAAATGAATTTTTTGTTGTTGGTAGTGAAGATGTGAATGGAGGATATGACGTAATTGGTCTAAAATTTTCCCAGGTTACTTGGGTTAGCAAATCCATGCATGACAATAGATGGATATTAATTGATGAGCGGGTATAGGTTAAACCCCTGTAAACACCAAAAGTTTCTTACTACAAGAGATTATGCTTGTTGGAGTACTGCCAAGATTGACCATGCTTATCCATTAAGTGTGATTTTTTCAATGGAACCCATGTATATATTTTTTTAAAATAAAAGTGTGGAGGGTATTGATATAGGCACCAAGGGAGCGCCGCCCATGTACAAAAAGTGAGAATTTATAGATTAGTAAGAATATCTACAATGGAACCAAAATCTTCCAAACTATCAAGGTTGTGTCCTAAAATAATGGAACCAAAAAGATGTAACTATTTATCCTTGAAGTTAGCAAAATTCACCTCAAGACTCTCAAAAACTCTACTATTTCTTTCTTTCAAGACAATCCCGAAGATTGTTAGTGGGATTAGCCCGTAAGGAGTTCTGCTTCACAGCTATGGAACCCATCTGTTGCACTTGACAATGACATTATCATGAAATATATGACTACCACTGAGGAAGGGTTCGCATAAATTTTCTCTTCTTTCAATTGATGAACAACCTTGAGGACAAGGTTAATGTTGAAGAGGAGAGAAATGTCAGCACCTGCACTGAAGATTTGGAAGAGAAAACCACTTCATGCAGAGAAAAAAGAAACTGACCCAACAGAAAACTACTTTCAGCCAGCCTAAATGGGTAATTAGCGTAATAAATGAGTACGGAACTCTTAATTTCTTATAAAATCTTACTTCCCCCTTTTTACTTCCTTTCACTGCATTTTGCTGAGATTCTGTTTTTCTGTTGAATTGATTTCTGTCGTTGTTGTTACTGAACATTTGGAAAGGAATGGTGTAGAAAGTCTGGAATTGGGCATGATTTGATAAGAAAAGTATTATGAAGAAAAGAAATCAGTAATTCCTCTTTCTTTCTCGAATATTCTGTTCTTCCAATTCCTCTAATTCCTCTGCTAATTTCTGGAGATTGTCTTCCCATTTTGCTAATTGTCAGTCTAATTGGTATCAATTTCTAAGGTTCCTGACAGGGGATTATGCCAGAAATCATTCTGCATACTATAAAATCAGGAAACGTGAAGTATATAATCTTGTGAACATGATATAAAATACGCAAGATTATACACCCGATCACTTTGTAAGAATTGAAGAAAGAATGAGACAAGCATGTAACAAATCAATAATTAGTTTTTCCAAATCTTAGAATTTGGTAGTGTATGGTGGATGCTCATAGTATTTAATAAAAAAAAAGCTTTACAAAATTCATTCTTAATTTCCAGCATACAAATATTCCTACAGCTAATTCAAATGAGAATAAGGAAATGCTCATTTTTTCCTTTGCCATTGTAATCTTTACTTATCACGACCAATGAAAATCAGTCAATTCAGTCAGGAGAATTTTTGTTTCAGGAAAGTTTTCTAAAATCACCAACTGAAGTGTTTACCTTTTTTTCTTGCAGAAAAATAATTTCTATAAAAAGGCACCTAAGGGATGCCACTCATTTACCCCAAGCAAAAAATTCAGAAGAGAGTGTTAGGCAAAAGATCTATAATGTCTCCTAGATCCTGTTCAATAAAAGAGAGGATGACTGTCAAAGAACACAGAAAGGTTATGAAACAAGTTGGAAGTACTATCTCCTGACCTGTTTTATTTTTAAAACGTTCAAAGTACTACCTCCTCTTTCATTAGCACTACCTCCTATTTGTACTCATCTAATGTAGAAATGAACTGTCTTACATGCACACAAATTAAAGATAAACTTCTCAAAAGCATAACCATGGATCATGCTATCTATAATTGCAATTCACTCAACTATAAAAACATCTAACTTTTCCTAGAATAAAAAATAAAACCTATATAACACTAAACAAATATGACTAGGCAAATCAGACATGACAGGCTACAAATTCCCTTGAAATTCAAGAAAGAAATTCTTATCTCAAAAGGGATTTGTAGAAAACAGACGATGAGGAAGTTCTTACAGCCTGCTCAGAAGCACCAATATACTTATTCAAAAGCTCGGGCCCTTTGACTGATATAAATCGTAGTGAGCATGCAGCAGCAGCAGCACCAACAATGTGAGTCTTACCACAACCAGGAGGACCATATAAGAGAATATTTGACCGCAACCTTAAAGGAGCTTGTGCAAATATATTTGGGAACTTTGATGGCAATTCAATCATCTGATAATAAAGTATAAGAATTTGGAACATGGAAATAAATTAGATAAATAACAAGTAATTAAAATCAAAGCTATTATAGATTGAAAGTGGAGAAGAGGAAAGATGCAGTTCAAGTAGTAAAATTATTATTTACTGGTAACTCAAAGACTACTATCGATTGAATTAACTCAAAGATATTGTAAGGATGTCTGCAGTTGCTAGTAAGCACTTTATCCCAATTTATCTAGTTGTTAAATATATCAATACTTAGTAAGTGGGAGCTTATTACAGCTTTTAAAAAATTGATAAAGTTATTCTGAATGTCAGTAATGGTTTCCTACATATCTCTTTAATAGAATTCCAAATGTCAGTAATGGTTGCCTACATACCTCTTTAATAGAATTTCGAATGTCAGTAAGACCACCAACATCATCCCACCCAGAACGACCACCTTCAGTAGCTGGCTTAGTAATGTCCCGCATGGCAACAGGAAGGAACTCATTCATAGCCTCAGAAAAATCATCCCTAAGTAAAGTTGGGTTAACATGCTTCTCAAGACCAGATTCCAAGGGTAAATAACGGCCAACGGCAGCATGAACAGCTCTATCAACCAGTATTTCCTAGATAAATCAACAACATTACAAGCCTTAGGAGAATAATTCACTAAAAAAGAAATGTTGGCATGTAAAAGTTTTAAGATAAGAAAATAAGAAAAATGAAACTGAAGGTAAGGATGAGAAGGCAGAATTGACTATATGAAAATATTGACATTTCAATTAAAAGATATTTACCAATATAAAAGAGTAAAGGATAATTTCTTTACTTTCACATGCTAGGAAATAAGGGTAAATACTAAACACATACAAAAGGTTAAATACCAGATCATATGCATCATATCCTTCACATTTGGAAGCTACATCTACCAAGATTTCATCAGAACATTGCAATGAACGCCTTTGAATTTCATGCTTTAATATAGCCCCACGTTCTGAGGCAGCAGGAGCGGGCAATTGCACATGAAAATCGAACCTTCCTGATAAAACTAAGTCTATCAGCATAACATCCAGTCTATGAGCAACAAGATAGGAGGTAAGTTCAATGTTCCAGTTTTCCTAATTGTGGTGCTAATATAATCAGATATCAAACCAAGGTATAAAAAAATAGATATACCTGATGAGGTTAACGCCTGGGGTACGCCCTGTAGAGACTTCACAGAAGCTATGAAAGCAAGAGGACCGATTCCACATGAGTTTCTTCTCTTTTCCTGTTTGCATACAGATAAAATATATCAGCTAATAGTATAATTAAGACTAGAAAGAACCATCTAGCTGCATGCATTCTAAATAAACCTTGAACGGAAAAAGGACTAGGGGAATTTGCTCCATAACAGGGTCGATCAAGATCCAAGAGTATCTGTGAGGTCACTGACTCACGAGGTGGCCAGGATTTGGCCTGACTGGTGTTTTTCAGGGTTTAGAAGAAGAACAATAAAAGGAAGAAGAATGAGAGAGAAAGATTAGGAGAAAGAACAGAGAATAGGATAATTTTGAGAAATCTTGCTAATAATCATTCAATTACCATCACAGGGTATTTTACTGGTGGCGGTTGCTGGTACAGTACAATGACAACCAAGGTGGTACGGAGACAGCTGGTCTTCGAGCCTGTACTTGTATCCAGTTACACCTCGATAACAGCGAGACAATCAAAAAAGAAGAAATTTTCCTACTAACTTAACTTACTAATTCTTTTCCTTTCCCATGTTACTCTTGACCCTGACAGTATCGTAACTTCTACTCCCTTGAGTCTTGCTCAAATTTAGTTCCATCCTGTGTTGCTGGTTCATGATAAAAATCCATCTAAATTTCCCAGCTTTCCACATTATTCCTACCAATACCATAAATTGACATTGACAAGCAATGAACCATAAAAATCAGGGAGATCTGGGATATTTAAAACTCAGTTATTCTATGATTAACCGATGCTTTTATGATGGCTGAGGGAAAAGCTAAATTGATTGGGAAGGGAGAAAAAAAGAAAAACAGAATGTTTCGGGTGGGACAGCTAACTATGGGATAGGACAAGTTTTTCTTATCGGAGAAATTAGGCTTCCTATGCTAGAATTTGAATGCTACAATTAGGCTTCTTTAATTCATTAACCAGCTAAGAAAGATCTAAGAAGAGAATCCAACCATGTCATGATTCACATCTACAATGCTCGGATCAAGCATCTGCTTCCTTATTAGAAGCACTCTCTCTAACATTCCAATCTACTTTCATTCCATTCTACCATTTCATCAAAGATTTTGAAAAGGCTCGAGTGTCTTCATTGCAGATTCCCATTGGGAGATTCTGAGGAGTGTAGGTGTTATCACCTTCTGATGTAGGAATATATCAAGTACCCCTTATAGGCGAGAGTGCTTTGGTATAAATGCTATGAATAAAAATATCTGTTCATAGAGCAGTTCTGGAGGTTTATGCATTGTAGAGGCATCTTTTGGAAGCAAGTTACAATTGATCAATATGGTTTGGAGGCCAGAGCTTGGAAGACAGCTAGGAGCAAATAGGCCTATGGTACTAAAGTCTTGAGTTTGATTTGGTGTGCTTCAGGGTTTGCAATGGGGAGTAAGTGGGTTTTTTATCTGATCATTAGTGCAGGAATTGATTAACGCCTGAGTCTCTCTGAGCTAGAAAGGGACAAGGAAGCCTCAGTCACAGATCTCTTGGTTTGGGATGGTTCCAATAACCACAGTTGAACAGCAAACTGAACTACAATCTGAATGATTGGGGAGATTAATTATTTGGCAGCTTTTTTCATCGTTAGCTCCTTGCAAGATTGACCTTTTTCTGTTTGTTTGTCCAGTTTGGGCCCTCTCAAAGCATGGGCTATTCTTGGTGAAGTCTTTCACCTGAACCTTCTTTTTCATTCAGATGCAGCTTTTGAATTTCTTTGGAAATAGATTTAGAAGAAAAAGATGATGCCAGGTATTGGAAGATGGCTGGGGCAAAATTCTCACTTTTAATAAGCTTAGAAGAAGAGGAAAAATCACAGTAAACTATTGTGCCTTCATGGGGATGAATCCACAACCATCTATTTGATGGCACTACCAACTATTTCCGTAACATTAGAGATCATTGGCTTTAGACCTTGAATATTTTGTTTAGAGATCGTTCTCTCCTTTGCTGGGAAGATCACGAAAACCTGAACAGATTTGTGTTCTTTAGGAATGACACAATCCTATTGTATAGGGGTGGCACCTTGATGTTTTGTTTATAATCTCCTTTTCTTTATTAGAAAAACCATTATAAGTTACTTTCAAACAGTTACAACCATAAAGACATGGTTACAGAGTCAAAAATGCTTATTAGGCTTTCAGGATCCATCCTTATATAACTGGGCCATCCACCAGGTCCATTGCAACCAACTGCAAACCAGGCTTAATAGAGATCAAGATCTCTATATACCTATATCCCAACTTTGGAAAGGCTAACAAAATAAAGACTAAATATGAGAATAGAGAACCCTATTATCCAGGAGCTGTTTATGAAGCATCAGCCAGGAGATGTGATATAAATTGAAAAATAAGTTCTTAGGTTCAGTGGAAGACTGTAATAAATCTTTAGTAACAAGTGACCCCAAAAAAATCAGCAGCTCTAGCAAAAGATTGATGATTTCTGAGATTTTCAGTTCTCCCGGGGAGAAAAAAAAAAAGTGGTAGGCTGATCTTAGAAGCAGAAAGTTGAACTCTTACTGCACTTTCAAGAATGGAGGATTCTGCTCGGTCTGGTGGTAAATTCTCATCAGCATGTCCAATAGCCAGTGCCATAAGCTTCTTTTGATGTTGGCAAATACAAAGAAACAAAGAGAGGGGAGGGGTTGGAGGACCCTCTTTGATAGCATCGAAACACCTACCCGCAAAGCTATTTCAAGGATTAGTAGGCAGCTCCTTATTATAGGCTTTTAGCAAAAAATAAAACAGCAGCAGCCGATTGTACTATGGTTATAGATGTAGGAGGCAGAAATTTGAATAAAAGTTTAGTACTTTTCTTACTTAACATATTATTGGATTTTCTCTTAACAAGCACAAGTCATTAAGAGATTGAAAGATTCTCTCTCCCACAACAAAACACATAACAAGAACCAAACTAGGGGAGCGTAACATATCCCTGTCAGAGCTATGGGTTAATAGATGTTTTCTGCACTCTAAGACAACAACTTAAAACATCCCTAAAACTTCATCTGGAAGATAGGGTGTGTGGTTGCACGGATAGAGAACAAAAGAGGATAGATCAGGAAGATGGCAATATGGCCATGGAAGCAAGACAATGAGAATTGGCCAACCATTCGGATGACTCATTGCATGTTTAAGCCATTCGACCTGGCCGATGCTTGTGCTAGGAACTAGTGAAAATGCTTTGCAACTTAACTTTTAATAAAAGCGGCTTTATAATGAAAAACAGTATAGTTAGGCAAATTTTGCTGTAAAAATGCTTTTGATAGAAAATGTGGTATTACATTTGATTAATTATGTGATATTGATAATACATGTTGAAATGATATAATCACATAATAATAAAATATTAATTATTATAGTTATTTAAATATATACTACTTTTGTCTAAAAATTATTCTGATAATTAAATTATTTTGAAATACTTATTTGAATTTAATTATTTTATTTATTCTATAAAATATAAATATTAATTTTAAAATATTATTTTTAAATTTTAAAATAAATATCATTTGAACAATTTATAATAAATATAAAATCACAGAAGAATAAACAAAGATTATATTTTATTTAAAAATATTAAATTTGTTAATTAACAAAATATAAATCAATATATATTCTTGTTGAAAGTATTATTTATTTCCTAGAGCACAAGTCATTTCTCAAAGAATATTAACTTTTAACTTTTCATTTCATTTTTATCCAAAGTCAAAAACAGCTTCTGCTGTTACCTAAAAGCAAATATGTTTTTTAGTGTCCAGGCAGACTTTAATTTTTTTTACAGCAGAGCAAAAGTAGAAGTTTGGCCAAACAAGTACTAAGAGGAGGTAACAAAAAGTATGGAGTATTTAGTGGAACTTGTTGATATGTTAATTGACTTGTAAGTGTTGTAAATGGGTGGAAATCCCTTGGTGCCTATGCTAATACAAATTTCACATTTATATTCAAAAAAAAAATAGAAAAGTAGGTAACAAATTTGAAATCTGCCAGTACTTGAAGCAGGTTTCTTATCTTACTTTTGGACTTGAGGACAAGCACTTTCTTTGGAAGGGAAGTAACTTTATGCGCTTTGATAAAACAGCAACATTTAAGAGTATTAATATCTCATAAGAAATTTTATAGGTATATTACTATTTAAGAAAAGACATCACAAGGTTTGAACAGATCAGGGAGATCAGCAGATGGAAGAGATTAGAAGATTTGGTTATATTATCTGTTTGGTTTTTATTAGTTTCTCTACTTTTGTGTCCTTATCCTGTTCTAAAATATATGTTTGTAATCAGTTAGTGCGGTAAAAGTAACAAGCAGAAATTTCATTAGAAGTTTTTTAGTACTTTTCCTACTGAAGGGATTGTTAACTTCTCTTTTGATGAGTCCTTATCATATAAAAACTGCAAGATTCTCTTTTGTAGAACCCTTATTATTAAGAGATCAAAGTTTTCTATCTTAAGGAGCCCTAACCCTTTTCCACACAAAATCCACAACAAGATCCAATCTAAAGGACTTAACACTACTAAGTATGCATATCTAGGGTATGTACTAGGTTGGACTGATCAGAATAACAATGAAATGTATGGCAGTAGCAAATGCATGGATGCCAAAAGGCCAACTGGGGTGGGGAAAAAGAAAAACTTGCGGCTTAGATTTTAGAAAATTGGGGAATATGTCACACCCACATTGACTCAAAATATCACCCATATCGATCTTAAATATATAGATACATCACATATATTAATTTGACAACAAAACCAGCAAGAATAAATGATTTTAGTTATTACCCAATATTCATCCATGATGTCCGTTAGAAATTTTGTAAGTGCTACAACTGAAGCTGAGGGTTGAGATCCTTCTGAGTCAGAGGACGATGAGATAATACTATCAAGATCATCAAAAATGACAACAGAAGGTGCATGATCCAATGCTTCTGATATAATGCTAGAGAGTGCTTGGCGGATAGTCAAGGCCTTCTCTAATGCAAGTCCAGAACAAGAAACAAATATTCTGCAAATAAAAGAAAACCAGACCATAACATTTCATTCTCATAAACTACTTCTAGTAAAAGTTTATGTAACTTCTAGAGGAGCAATGTCATATAATAAAGTGCTAATTTCTAAACAAATAGCAGGACATGGGCTATTCGTATGGCTACTACACCCACTGAGTGATGGCTATTGGAGTACCCATATGCTATAAAATTTTTGATTGATCTATAATTTCTGCCCTTTTAACAAAGTATCCCCTGAACCCACCGTAGCACAAGGTCCAAGCAATCCTCCAAACAAATCCCATTTTAAGGAAGTGACATGAATATCTAAAGTAAAATCTATTTTTTAAAAATAAAAAGTAAGTTAAGATTCATTAATTCACAAGCACCAAGGAAGTGTCAACCTATATACAAAAAATATTTACACATAAAACAAAATATCAATAAGAGCCACAAAATCCTCCATCGTATAAAAAGGATGACTCACAATAAAAAAACTCAGATTTAAAACCATCTATCTCTTACTCTATCAAAATCATCTTCCATTCCTTCAAAAGCTCTCATATTCCTCTCTTCCCACACCACCGAAAAAATAGCAAGGGCAATGAGGCTCACATGTTTCTTCCCTCCACTAATACCTTTCCAGGACCAAATCTCTTCCATCCTATCTCAAGTAAAATCTTAGAATGATAGTTACTGGACCAGGACCTCCTGATCGAATTACTGGTCAATCATACCAAAAACCCACCACCTCAATTGGAACTGAAGTTAAATATAATCAAAGTATTACCATTTCAAAACTTAATAGAAATAAAAATCATTCAAAATGAAAAAGAAAATCTTACACATGTGCAAAAAGGTCTTCACGTTTCTCAAGGGACTTTGCAGCAGCTCTGGCTAACAGTGTCTTTCCAGAACCCTAACACAACAAAATGATGTTACTTGAACCACCAACAAAGGTCTAAGACTCTAATTACATCGTTATAACTCAATCTAGAGTTATACAGATAGAAAGATTGGCGTCTTGTGTTTCTAAAACAAACAATTACTTATGAAAAGATTGATGTCATTTGTTTCTGAAACAAACAATTACTTATACTTGTATCTTCACAACTGAATTCACAATATATATTACTATTGATTCCAAGAATAAAATGAATGATCAAGAACACTTTTCTATCCAAATTATGTCCAACTTAGCAGCTTCCATATACCAGGCACTAGACTCCAACAGCTTAATCCAGTTGTCAGCAACCCCAACACTCTAGGAATGTCAGGTTGTCCACTTATAGATCGTTTGGCCTAACAGAACTGTAATAAGAGAGAAATGTAATGCCTATTACATTAGATACTCTTATTACCATGTTTCGTTCCATAAATCACAATTCCATTGAAATTATGATTCCAACAGATGCTGCAGTCGTGATTCATGCCTGCAGGTCATGAATCAGTCTGTTCAGAATATCATTTTTTTAGTTTAAGTAGATTATACCCTCAATGGCCAATTTACATTATTTTACATCTAACATACCCCCACTTTAACAAATAAATCAACATCAAAACCTAGTTTTATATAAATGTGCAAATTCTAAAACTTACATATATATATGATGTTTTTAATATATTTTCTGGTAAATTTTATTAATGACGCATGAAAATATCTCAATTAAATGCTAAATTTTATATTAGAAACTGAGAATTCATAATTTTTAAAAAATAAGTTCCTGGTCATATCTGGAAAATTTTCAGATTTTTTATTGAAATTATTTAAAAACTTAACAAATTTATGAACTTTTATGTAACATAGAAGAAATTTAATTATCAATATGCAATTGTGATTATTTGAATTACTTATTAATCATTTTAATTATTACATCAATTATAATATTTGTTAATTATTCATAGTCTTATGTTGTAAAGTGCATTAAAATACACTTTTAACCAAATACAATAAGAAGGCATTCTAGTCATTTAGAGTTACTTACAAGCATATTCCTAGCTCATTTACAACAGAAGCAAACATAGTAAAAAGGTTGTAATGGTTATTCCTAGTTGCAAATCAAACAATGTAATATAATTGCAATTGCATTACAGTTTTATTCTATTCCCAGTAAATAGTTATTACATTACAGTCTTATTGTAACCACTTGCTCCTTTGGTGCCCGATGGTTTTCAGTTTATGGACGATGGCAAATAGAAGCTTGGGGATTGATTGGGTGATGGCGGGGTCCGTTAGGGAGGAGAGTGTGGCATGGAAATATTTAAATGAGAGGTATCCATTCTGCAATTTGATTTCTCTCACCATTATGTGGATGGCTTGGAAGGACAAAAATAGGAGGGCTTTTGATTGTGTCACAAGCACAAAAGATTTTGATATTTTAAATAATAGATGGTTCAAGACCCTCGAGTTTTTGTTATCGGGTCAATCACCCGAGGTCACTGAGGCTTTCAAGGCATGTTGAGGCCGGGTTGACTAAACTATGTAATTATTGTAAATGGGTTGCAACCCCTTAGGTGCTTATAGTAATATATACATACTGTTTTTATTTTTTTTAAAAAGATTGGTTGGATCAAGCTGGTGCTTGTGCAGTGAGTTGCTAAGGGTACATTTAGTAAGCAGATTAAAGGTTGAATAACACTTGAATGTAATGACTATTACGAATAATAGTCATTCATTTGTTTGGTTCATGGAAATTTAGCGATAGCCAAGATCAAGATGGACATTTTTTAAAAAATAAAAATGGACATTGTCGTTCTTCGTTTTCATGTAAATGTCAAAGTTCCCCTGTTATCATTAAAAAATTATCAATAAACGCGATCTTTCAGATAGCCAATCCGCCACCATAAGAGCAGTGCACATTCACCATCAAAGCTGGCCGAAGTTTATCACACAGCCACCTCATGGCAAACTTTAGTAAGAAAGATATATTAGTACTCACCATACTAACTAGATTTCAGCCAGACTGTCATTAGAGTGGCTGAAATCTTGTCAAACCTCACATGGACATCACTGGTGAAGCTTTATGAGTGAATGAGGCAAACGTCCAGGCAAAGCTAGTATCCACCTGCTTGCTTGTCTCTGGAGACTTACCCAGTGCCAGAACGATATAGGAACGGAAGGAGGAGTTAGAAGAAACTTAGGTAGGTTGTTTGATTTTTGGACGGTTGCTAATAAGAGAATGAGGAAGATCACCCATATAAGCTAGTTTGTTTGATTTTTGGGCGGCCAGTAGTAAGAAAACAAGGAAGATGGTATTGAAAAAAAAAACAAAAAGAGGTAGTATAGAAGCTGAAAGTTAAAAAGAAATATGAAAAGTTTTTCTTTAAAGAAAATATGGGATCTATAATTTTTCTAAAGAAAACTTTAAACTTTGATATTTAGGCATCGATTAGTTTTTTTTTCATAATTATGCAGATTAATATTTTAATTTAAAATTATAGATTATTACTAATAGAGTGACAAGAGTACTTTTGGCACTTAATCTATTCTACCTTTTGAGCTTACCATCCAAACTATAATGTAATCACAATTCTATTACTACATTATTCCATTCCTGATAAGTTGTTATTGCATTACAGTTTTATTACATCCAGAAACCCAAATGTCGTAAATATGCTGTCAAAATTACTTTCAATAAAAGCAACTCTAAGGTTAAAGTGGTAATCTTTGGTAAAACTTACTGAAGAAGTATTTTCAATATATAATATGATATTACGTTCAATTAATTATGCTATAAAATTAGTACTAAATTTTGAAATAATAAAAAAACATTGCATTGCAGTAAATAATATTCATTATTAATATCAAATATTTGCATCGATAACAGTTCTAATAATTTAATTTACCTTAAAACATTTATTTTAATTTCACTATCTTATTTATTATATTCAATATATATTTTTTCAAATAAAAGTATAGTATCCATCATGTACAAGAACCAAGGGGTTGTCAACCCATGTACAATATTATTTACACTTCAATCATAATATTTATAAGATTCCCAAAATCTTTCGTAGTATGCAAAGAGTGACCTATAATTATAAACCCACAATTTGGAACTATCTATTCTTAATCCCATAGAAGTTAGCTTCCACCCTCTCAAAAGCTCTCATATTTCTTTCTTTCCACACAACTCAAAAAATAACAAGGGGATATGAGACCCACATGCCTTTTCCCGTCACTAATACCTTTCTATGCTCAAATCTCATCATGTCTGTCATAACCCAACTGATTCTCAATAACCCATATACCAGGATTCACAACTTGTACGCCAATGGATAGCACAGCAAGATATGATTGCACGACTCTTCCGCACCCTTATATAGGAAGCATCCATTCACCAAAATCTTTCCCCTTCTCCTTTGCTCGTCAATAGTAAGTATACATTCCCTCCCAAGCGAAAAAAGCCATTCTAGGGGGAGTATCCGAATTTGCTTGTACAGAAAGCTGATCTTAAAGGAGTCATTTTTTACTAAGTAATCATATAAAGATTTATCATGTATGTGCCCTCAGCCCTTAGGCACCAAACTAGTAGATAATTGCTCTCATTCAGATAGACTATGGACACAGAGCTGATAAGGGACTCAAACTCATTAACCTCCCAATCGTTAAGGTTCCTGATCAACTCCACTTGTCATTCTGGAGCCCCCCTACTAAACCAAGAATCTGTCCAGAAACTAATTGTTCTCCCATTGCCAACCCTCCACTTGATGCAACCCTAAAATTTCTCTCTCCTCATACAGATTTTCTTTCACAGACCTTTCCCATGTGGTCTTAACAAAATTTGAGTGTATCATCCTCTATCTACGGTATCAAACTTCACCTCAATTACCCTTCTCCAAAGAGTACCATTTTCTATCATGAACTGCTAAAGCCACTTGCCCTAGAGCGCGTTGTTCATATCCACGAACGATCTCAACCCCAAACCCTGATGCAATGGTTTTTTAATCTCATCTCATGCCACTATATGATATCTCCTTCTATCCTCCGAGTCACCTCACAGAAATCTGCATTGGATGAATCCAAATCTCTTCGTCATGCTCCCAAGAATTGTCAAGAGAGACATATAATAGATGAGAAGATTAACTAACATATTTCTTATGAGAGTAAGCTACTCCTCCTTAGATAGTAGATTTCTCTTCCAACCTGCTGACCTCCTCTCAAACCTTTTTATGACCAGATCCCATGTTCTCACATCTTTGTAAATAGCACCTAAAAACCCCAAATACTTAACTCCACCCTTTTGCATCCCAATACATTTGCCAATTAGGTAGTATCATTCCCATCACCTAGTCTCACCAATTCTGACAATCAAATTAATATTAACCAGAGACCGATTGAAAGCACAACAAGACACATGTAAGATATTATGTTCAATATTTAAAATATTAGTTTTAAGTCACCATTATTTAAATGTTAAAGGAAAAATCATTTGACTAACATGTAAGTTCGTATATTATTAACTGATATTTTTATCTTAACAGTATTAAACTAATAAATCAGAGAAATATATAAGTAGAAATATTATTCGCCTATCAATCTCAAAAATATCTATTTTCAGCTTTTTCTTGAAAGAGAAAATATCCATTTCAACTTTTGACTTAAATTTTATCAAAAGTAAAAAACAAATATGCTTTTATAACCACTTCTTTACTTAAAAGTTAAACAATAATTCTACTCTAAAGTGAATACCACTTAAAATAAGCACTTAAAAGAATGACTATCACTCTTAGAACAGAAAAAAAATAATAATATCATGCAGTGGCTCTGAACACATGAATGTACTGGTAATTTCTAACAAATTTTCTAAAGATTTTCTAATCTGTTCATCAAATTGATATCTCAACAGAAGTTCATATACATGCGCCTATACTTAACCTCCCATGCTACATGCATTCATCTATTTCCCAATAGTCACAACAAGAACTTAGTTCCTAAGCTCTGACAATTGATGAACATGACACCTACAAATACAACTGCACTAATGGCGGTGGATCGCCCAACAGTCCATGTAAAGTATTTATGAGATCAAACAAGGAAAAAAAATTTGACAATGACTATCTAAAAGAACCATTCTTGCACAAGAAGACTGAATTTTGGAGCCAGAGCAATCCTCTATAACATAAAATCAGAACATGCAAAATTAAGAATTTAATTATGTCTCCTTCAGCCAAACATAAATAAAAAATGAATCACTGAACTCAAAGAGATGCACATACAGGAGGTCCATGTATTAGAACATGCCCAGGTAAGGGAAGATTGTGAACACCGAACCACATTCCAGACGCAGAAGACAACAACACAATCATCCCTGCATTGAGACTTGTGTTAGGATTAAGAGTGAAACTGCCTCTCCCTAGTAGTAGAACATATGGGAAGTGTGATCAATTCCAGCAAAGATTGGTGGGTATAATAAATGTTTCTATATTAAAAAAGGTGCATAAACGTTTCAAGGATCCTGAAAAGGCACTTCAGCAACTAGATATCAAACTAAGAACCTAAACAAAAGTTGCCCATTACAAGATTTTCACAGAAATAGATATTAAAAAAAAAAAGATTCTAAAGCTGTTATAATTATCAATCAGACCTTAAAAGATTTTACCCAATCTAACTTGAGAATATGTGTAGAAGCAAAATTGTTAAGAGCAATGATAGAGTTGTTCTGCTTCTGGGATAAAATATAGCAATGCTGCATGCATGCATAAAAGAACTAAACCTTCAAAAACCAAAACTATAGTTTAGATCACAGAAAACAAGATTATACTGCATGAGATTACTCTGCAAACATCCACTATTCTTGAATGAACTCCTTCTCAAACCTTTAATTTCAAGGCACTTAAGGATCCTTCACAATGTACCAGCTCTAAAGCTCTCCTTCAACAATGAAAAAGCTATAAACCGATTAAAGCCAATTTCTGAGCAACAAAACAGGTTTTATTGGGCAAGACAATACAGGTACAACAATAATCTGGCGATCTTAAAACATATTTTATGCAACCCAGAGTTTTCATTCTCTCTTTTTCTTTAAGTCTCTATGGTCTGATACCTTACAGCCATGATCATCTTTATCATGAACTGGCTACAGTATTTTTCACTTCTGCAAATCCATACTGCACTATTTTTTATGTGGATCTGGAACATATAATTTTTATGAATACATATATTTATATGGGTGTAGTTACATGTACAAAAAAATTTTAAGTATATAAATCTGTGTGCTGTGGATATTTATATATATATAACCATATGTATGTACACATGGAAAAATAAAAGAAATGAAGTAGATAACTAACAATTGAATACGAAAAATGATTTTAAAATTTTAATCACAAGCTTAGTGATTTAAAATAAATTAAAGTCAAGAACTTAGTAGACCAAGAGAAACACATAGGTAAGTAGAAGTCTGCCACTAAATTTGTTTAAACACTTATAAAAATAATCAACAAAGAAGGTCATAAAAATAATAAATTGAAAATAAAAGAATAGTAAAATAATAATAATAACTTAATAAAGCAAATTGAGAACCAAAATAAGTACATTTAGAAATTACATGAATAAATAAATAGACAATTAAATTATGAATCATTGACCAAAGTGGTAAAGTGATATGATAACAAAGTTTTTGGAATAACAAATGAAATTGAGAATAAAAAAAGATATTAAGTTAAATTACAAATAATAGAAACACTAATTAAAAAAATAAAAAAGGAACCAAATAAGCAATAAAATTGCAATAATATAGATAAGTTAAGGAATATTACAATAAGGGATAAGAAAATTCAGAATAACAACAAATAAAAATAAAAGAATTACTGAAAGACTATGAAACCCGTTTAGTATGTATTAGAGAAAGGGGGGGTGCATGTGTAGCCATTTTTGGTAACTGATGTGCCTCAGTCACATGCTGCGAAGCCCCATACTGAACATGGTTTAGAAAGTGTTCAGTGATACCCTTTTGTGATCCACTTTCCTTAACATCAAAAAGAAAAAAAAAAATTCTGAACATTCATGAATGGCAAATAAAAGTTCTTATCCTTTATCCACTTTATTTTGCTTGAGAAGCATTTTGTCTGCTACTATTAGCAAGGTGCATTTTCATTCTGCATTCTCCTTATAGAACAGTAGAGAAAATGTCATAATGTTGCAGCATAGAACAGTTCTACATCAACAATAAAACATTCGAAGATTTGAGCAGTTCATCCAAACCAAATTAATAAAGAGAAAGCAGCATGAGATCTGGCCATGTTTTTAGCAGATAATACAAAAAAGTCACTCTATAATCTTAACCAACCTCTTGGTTTGTCTGGATTGGTGTGTGTGTTCCTTATATTAGCATGTTCATGCATATGCAAACCATTAGCAATAAAGATCATACAGAGTTGTAAGAAATACAAAAGCTAGCATATTGTTGCTAAAGATATACCATTTTGTACATGAAAGAATTATGAAGAAAGGCATTTCATGTAAAGCATATCAAAGAGAAAATACTCACTCTTGATAACATCAGATACAATTGGACCCATCCAGCTCAAGGAAGATACATCTGACAAGATACCATTTATAGAGGTTCTTTCCTTAACAGAATACAGGGATACAGGACCACACAAATCCATCTTTCCAGCGAGAATTTTTAAGCCCTCTAAAGTGTTCCCCTTTCTGTTTCTTTCATCTATGGCAAACTTGTAGGTATCCAACTTTTCACCATGTGAAAATTCCTCTGAGACAGTCAATACATATAAGATTTCTACTGGAAGCTCTCTAGTCTTGTTTCTGTTCTCTAAAAAACCATTAGATGGTGCCTGTACCTTTGTGTAATCGCTAGACCTGTGCCCTCTCACTTCAAAGTGGAGTAGAGTTTCATTCCCCAAAGCTAATGTATTAACATCCTCTGCTGCATCTGAAGCAGCAGCATCAAGTTGTGCAGAAGACCACAAGTGAAGAAGATATTCTAGTCCCTTCCTGTTGTCAGATAGATTAGTGGTCTCTGCTTCCTCTTTGAATGGACTCTCAGAAGAGAGAGCCATAATAACTTCATCATGGGTTGACCAATCTACAACATCCACATAGGTGCTGATGCCAGCTTTTGGAAGCACATTTTTTGTCTTTCGGTCCCTGTGGATATCAAGTACTTCCATGCCATTCTCTAGTGCCTTGTCCTTACTCTTTCCAATAATCTTAAAGTGGCACGGAGAAAGTGAAATTGCAGGAATTTCCTTCTTCAAATTGGCATTAATTCCCTTCAAATAAACCCCTGAAAGCATGAGATAATTCTCACTTGAAACCAACTTTGCAAATGAATTAAGAGATAACAGATTGCTGAAATACTAAGCGCCTTACAACAGGAAACTGGTATAAAAACCAAGTTTTTTCTCCTCTTCTCATAAAGGCAACAAGCTCCGACAATTTAGTTATGTTTTGAGAACAGGATTATTCATTCATCCATAACTTAGCCAGCCAAGGATCACTACTTCACCCAGGAAGCCAAACACTATTATCTTACAAAGCCATCATGGCCTGATAAATAAGTATCTTTAGCTTCACAAGATTCATGAATACACTCCAAAAAACAGTGGGGAAAATACACATTAGGATCAAATCCAAATCTATAGGATTGTAGAAATTTTGATTAGACAGAAATTTGAGGAAACTTCTCTTACTTTGCTTTTTAGTTTGTGTGGAACAAATTTTCTTCAAAAGATACAACATATATATGGAGCCCTCTAATACTATTCATAGATATAATTCCTAATTTGAGAAGTAAAATAAATCCTAACCCAACAGGAAAACAAATCTGCAAAACTATAGATAAATATAATAAATCCACAATTAATTCTAAAAGTTGAGGAATCAATATAGTAAACAACTAAATTAACCCTATTCTTATTTTAAGGTTAAATATTGTTTCTATGCTCCTACACCACACATGCATGTACTGAGTAATGAATTCCAATTGTAATGATAGGTAATGATTTGATGATCAATGGTGTTGTTTTCTACATGCTCAACCTGAGAATATCGGTGTAGGGGACAGCAATGTTGCAAGATCTTTCTTCTAAGAAAATGTGTTAATTCAGAAATTATCTTGCACCAGAAAATTTGTCATTTTTCATTTTCCTAACAATGAAGAAATTCCAATAAGAAATGTCACAAAAAATAACTTTCCTAAAATACCAAAGAACAGGAACTGTTAAGGAACAGGTAAGCAGAGATGAATAACAGATGTGTTCCAAAAAAATTAAACATACATGAATGCACGCCTGCTTTCAGATAAAGACGAAGTGACGGAGCTATCATAACATGTCCTAGAGCTATTGAATCTGAAATTAGAAGGCGAACAGTTGCTGCATGAGATTCCTTTTTGTCAGTTCCCCCATTAGCTTCCTTGGCAGTTAAGCTGCTCTTCATTCTGACAGCATCATTTTCAAGATTTGTGCTCTGTGTTGGTGATAATCTAGGGATAATTGCAACCAATTGATGAGACCATAACGAAAATTTTTTGGCAGTTTCTGGATTAATAAAAGCAATAGATGTGAGCACTACATTCAGCTCAAGGCCTTTGACATCAGCTCTACGAAAAAATGATCTGTCTGAATCTTGGACACGTAGTAGAGCCTTTGGAATATGGTCTTCTTTATTTGCAGACAACAAGTAGGAATCTCCAGCTGCATCTGTGTCTCTCTTGCGTCTTTTTGGAGCAACAGCAACTTCACTTCCCGGCACAAGTTGCACTGAGAAGACACTCATCAAAGAGACAAAATATCATCATTAAACAGATTTTTTAATCCATATCCATTTAAGTAAATAAATGTATAGCTTAAACCAGACATGCTAATGTCCAAAAGCAGCAGAATATATACACCAGCAAGCTGTGATACCATGATAGATAGAACACATAGGGGAAACAAGTGAAATGCTAAAACTCTAGTTTGCTAATACTATTCCTAAGACCTTACTTCAGCAGAAGCTTTGAAAAAAAAAATCTTGAAAATGCTGATAATGAAGACAGCAATGGTTGTGGGGAGGAAGACAAGGGGAAAATGTGTAAAAGGAAAGAAGGAAAAAACCAGAAGAAACCTAGGAGCATTTTATAGCTTAAATGAATGCTCAACTATTTCTAAAGAAATTTACACTGACATTACTTATATAACTTACTTTTGCTGCTTCCTTTTGCTAGGCATAGAGCTGCTTACAGCAGGAGTTGAAACTGAATTCATCTCGTAATCACGAGATAAACACCATTGACTTAAAGTCCAGGTGTTATCCATATGGTTTCAATACAAGCAAATGGAGATTCAACTATCACTAAGTGTAGAGCTATGTCCTAGTATCTATGGAAGAATAGAAAGTCTTGCTTTTTTAATTGAATTATAGAGCCCATATATATATACCCATTCTTAGGTTAATAAAATGAAACATACAATTAATTACATATACCTTTTACCTTGATTATACAAGTATAGACTTTCCTATATAATGTATATATTTCTCAACACTTCCCCTCAAGCTGGTAAATAGATTTTTTTTTTCTCAGCTTGACAATTATCATCTGAAATGCGAGATTACTCAACCCTTTAGTCAACACATCCGCAAATTGTGAGCTGGTGGGCATTGAAGACGTGTAAATAACACCATTATTCAGTTTCTCATTGATAAAGTGTCTGTCAACCTCAATATATTTGGTTTTGTCGTGTTATATCGGATTGTGTGCTATACTAATTGTTGACTTGTTACCTCAGTAGAGTCTCATAAGCTTATCCCATTCAATTCTCAAATCTTCCAGGATCAATTTCAGCCATAAAAATTTAGTCATTTCTTGTGTCATTGCCCATAATTTCAACTATGAACTAGACCGGACATCCACATTTTATTTCTTACTTCTCCAAGTGACTAACTTTCAAAAAAAGTACAATAATCAGTAATGGATCTTCGGTCCACTAATGACCCTGAATAATTTGCATCGGTGTAGACTTCACTCATCAACCTATTATTTCTTTTTTAATATAATACCTTTCCCTGGTGCAATATGCAACTTCACTCATTGAGTGCAATATGCAACTTGCAAGTGTCCTCCTTGAACTTGTGCATAAATTGCTTTATTACACTTACTACATATGTGATATCCAATCTGTTGTATGACAAGTATATTAGTTTTCCAACTACTATTTAGTACATTTCCTTACTGACATCCGAGTCTTCTTCTGCCAATCCCAATTTGAGTGAGATCAACTGGGATATCAACGAGTTAAATGTTAGCTTGTCGATCTCCTTTAAAAGGTTAGTGACATACTTATATTGTGAGATAAATATCTGAGCTTTACAGTAGGCTACTTCTATCCCGAGGAAATGTTTCAATTCTCTAATTCCTTGATTTCAAATTCTCTAGTCAGACATTACTTGACATTGTTCTCTCCTTTTCATCATTACCTGTCACTATTATGTCATCTATGTTTATCTCCAAAAAAAAAAATATTATGTCATTTGCATACACTACAAGGGCTCCCCCTGAATTGGAAAATAGGGTATGTTTTCCCTGACTCTACCTGTAAGTCATAACTAGCATAACCCTTATAATTTTTCAAACCATGTTCTAGGAGATTGTTTGAGCCGTATAGTGCCTCTTTTAACTTGCACATTTGATTTGCCTTTACGCCCTTAGTAAATCCTGGAAGGATTTCCAATAAATTTCTTCTTTTAATTCTCTATGCAGAAAGGCATTTTTCACATCAACTGTTGCAACTGCTAATTAAAATTTGCAGCAAAGGATAATAGAACATGTATCAAATTCATTTTTACCACTAGTGCGAAAGTCTCCTGGTAATCAATCTCATAAGTTTGAGCATCTCCTTTGACCACCAATCTTTCCTTATATCTCTCTATAGATCCATTAGTTTATACTTTATCATAAATAAACATTTACATCCTATTTGTTGCTTCTCTTTCGGTAGGCCCACCACTTTCTATGTTTAATTCTTCTCCCAAGCCTATATTTCAACTTCCATAGCATTTTTTTATTCCTCAACAGTCAAGTCTTAGATATTTTATTGGGAACAGATATTGTATTTAGACTCATTAAAAAGTTC